AAGAAGGAAACTGTTCAGAATTTAAATCAGCCTATGGGATTGAATAGAGGGATATAGTCCCATTGTAGTTTTTTACAGACTGCTTTAAAAAACTCCATAGAAATGTTGGTTCCCATCAAAATCTATTTGACTTTTCTATCACTGCTGCTTTGAAGTCACTTTTTTTGCCAGTATCTTTGCTATACACAGTAGTCTGTGTCTCATGCTGGCATTCTTGTCCTCCTCCCCTACAAGGGCCTCAGAGCAATGAGGCTGCAGCAATATCTCTGAATTTTGTGTATTTTATAAAGGTCAAGAAAAAGAACTAGCCTTTCATAACAATTCTTACTAATGCACATTGTAACATAAAATAAATGATATTTGCACAGTAAAGTGTAACTAAAAGATAATGTTTATGCTTTCCCACCTCCTCCAAGGGACGCGTATTTGTTTATGTGGTCTTCAGGTCATGTTCGTTTTGTATTAGCATTTCATGTTCTCCTCTGACTGATTCCTCTTTCAGTTTGAGTCAGTGGATGTGACCTTACGATGACATTTGCAGAGGGAGGCTATGAGTGCAGTAGCTGTAGGTTCTTCCAGAGCTCACTGGGAGGTCAGGTCCAGGCTGAGTCATCAGATATCTGAAATGGGGCTTAGGAACCTGAATGTTAGGTGTTCCCTTTTTAGCTCATGTCATATCACTAAAGGAGTGAGGACTCCATTTTGATTGTAACTGAGAGGTGAAAACTCTCTATGAAGAGCCATCGTGCAGACATGGAAAATGTATACTGAGCCAAAGTCCACCCTGTGGACTTGTGGGTGTGAATCAGGAGCTATTAGAGTGGGATGAATTCCTCCTGAAAGAGGAATTATGTTCTTAGTCGAGAGAACTCAAAACACCTACATCTTTGCAACACTGGAGTATTTAGGCAGCAAAGTCAGCAAGAAATAATGTATATTGTATTCCCTACCCTGGGCACGTGTGACATTCTGCACCTTTTCCCGTAGAAGTGCCTCTGGCTCCTTGCCTCTCTCAGGGTACTGTGGCCAAAGCAATCATTAGTTCTTGCAAAGGAAATTGAAACCATCTTCCCCTGTGGGAGTTTCTGTCTTCTTGTTATTTGAACATGGAGATACAGGAGGGTTGTTTTTGGTTCTGATATATGCATTTAATCTTTGGGAGTGTCTGAGGATAGCACAGCATGGCCCACACTAATTGTAAGGCAAAGCTTGAGGCTCTGCTCACTGGAATATGATTGTAAAAGGTGCAGAGACATGTGCCCTAGATCTATATTCTCAGTGAAATATGCCACCTAAAATATACTGCTGTCTTTCTGTAGTGAAAAAGTTCAGACAAGGTATAAGTATCAAGTGAACTGCTCCAGGTAACTGGTGCATAAAGTAGTACGCTGTGCTGTGACAAAGTATTGTGATGCGTTGTGATGTGCTCTGCTTTACACATGAGAAATTGTCAGCAGAAAACCTAATCCAACAGCGACTGTGCAACTGCATAATGCAATAGGTCCCCTAGCTGCATATTTTTTGCATCTCGTATCTGCGTATATTCAGTAGTTGCTATATTCATACGCTTAAAAACTATTACATATGAGTGGAACCACATTATATGTGCTGAGACTGTTATTCTGTTGCAACTAATCAATATTTTCTTGCTTTCAGAACTGTACCCATGAGCCAACTGCAGTAGAGTTAGTCATCATCAGTAGTAATATGCTATCAGTGAGAATATAGTTTGTGGTTATGTCCATTCTCACATGCATTTCTTCATGAGATGGCAGAAATATTGCCAGCTTTGCCCAGAAAATGTGTCTATAACAAGCCTATTGGTCTCCTGGTTTGCATAAATTAACTTTGTTTTTTCACCAGCCTTAGTTGCTTGATTCAGGTGTATTTTAAAACAAAACGGTGCTTAGTAGAACTGAAGGGCTACTTAATTCAAAGTAATGGAAGCTGAGCTTGTGAACAAATCCAGAAATGGAGCAAATGTTAAGTGTGCTTTCCTAAACCTACTTCTGCTGGTTCTTTTGAAGAAATATGAAGAATAAAGAGAATCTTGCTGTTTGTTTATCCATTTCTTGTTTTCCTGTGGTAATCCTCCTTTGTCTTCTCTCAGATTCAACTCTCTTTTATTGTACCCTGTTTGCGAGACCCTGACTTCCCCGTCAGTAAGAGCTGGCTATCATCTCCATCATTTTCTATTTAAAGAGAAATAAAAGTTACTCATATGCAGTGACTGAGTTTGAAATTTGTCCCAAAAAAGGGCTCAATTTATGTATTTATTTTTACAGGTAACATTTTGTAACCTCTTGAAATGTCTTGGGGTTAAGCTGAAAATGCAGATCCATAACTGATTGTGTCCCTGGGGAAATATTAAAAAGTCCGATGCAATGCTAATAAATCATAATGACTGTTATTATTATGCTTTGGATGCATTGTAATAAAGCCACAACATTGTTTTATTGGAAAAAAATCAACCCCCAAATGTATGATTTCATTCCTATATAGTAATATTTCTGTAATTAATATTTTAAACTTCTATGAGGTCTTCCTCTGAGGATACCAAAGTATTTCACAGATATTAATTAAATAAGGTCTTATTCGTCAATCTTTATCCGTATAAGTAGTCTCATTGGCTTCCCATCTGCAAGGAATTTTGGACTCTTCTCTGAGTTAATGCATTTGATTATTTCCACTTCACTAATGTAAAAAATGAGACACAGAGGAGTTAAATGGTTTACTCAAGACAGAAGGGAGAGTTAGTGGTATTTGAAAATAGACCTTCTGAAGCAGAGTCCTGTGCTTTCATCAGAAAATGGTGCAGCAGCACTTGTAGGAGCTTGAAGTGGATCAGATCCCTGTTGCCCACAGTGCTGCAATCCTCTAGCAACGGGCACATATGCTGCCATGTATGTCCAGTTTCATGCACTGAGTGAGACACTCGTGCAAAGAGCTCCTGCATGGTGGTTCTCCTTGGCTAGCCTTCTCTACACCTTGTCAGCTACAGCTGGCAGTGCTCATCCGTGATCTGCCAGCCTGTGGCATTTCGTTGTTTGAAACATGGAGTGGGGAAGAGGTTACAGTACTGTGCTGTGCTAGCTGTGCACCAAAGCAGCCTGCACCCAAAGCAGACACCTAACTGTTACACTTACCACTTGGTCTGATGCCCTAAGTCCTACATATCTCTCTGCACATACCCAAACATGCTGGGCAAGTGCTGGGCAGCTTGAATGGTCTGTTCTGGATGAAGCTGAAAAAAAGCAGGGCATGGTTCACACTTTGCAATGACGCGCTCCTCACTTTTGTGTCTCAGGACTAGAGTATCCTTCAGTGTGGGGAGGGGTGACTGGGCATTGGAAGGAAACCCAGGAGTGTGAGAGGGAGGGAACTGCAGCGTGTGTGGTGTGAATGACATGGGGAACCACCTGCAATGTTCATAACATCTGGGACCTTGAGCCCAGTATCTTCTTTCTAATCAAATAGTCCATTCTGGAAGACTTAGGCACCCTTGCCTTTGCAAGGTGTGAGTCTACACCGAAGTATCAGCATTTTTCCTTAAGGTCAATGGGACATCATGCACATTATAAGAGTGCCAAGGGTGTAGATCCAATGAGCAATAGCGAAAAGGCAAACAGAAAGGTTAAATCAGGGAGATTTTCACTCTTGATTTTAAGCCAAGGCTCATTACAATCTTGACAAAGTATCAGGAAAAAAGGTCTGGGTATTGTTTAAAAGTCTTGGAGAGCTGGCTGACATGTTGTCAGGGATATGAGAGTTTCACACCTTCCTGGCAGGGACAACCAGAGTTCCTTCACCTGCCACAGTAACTGTTGCATATCGTTAACTATAGGCAAAACAATTGCTCTAACACACAGTTACAAGGGGCAAATAATTTAACGGGCAGCAGAGAAGGTGGATGTGTGATATAATGGCCTGAGCAAGTTGGAGCAAGGAGCAGGCAAGGAGAGGGAATGATGCTGATCCTGAAAGACCCTAAAAGCAAAGCAGGTGAGTTGGAAGAGATCACATATTATAGATGATGTGGTCCTGCTAAATGCCCCCTTCAAGATTGCTTTTGCTAAGACTTAAGTGGACGATGTTTATGCATGGACACTGTGAGTACAACTAGCCTGAAGTTTGACAAGGTATTCTCAAGTAAAAAGAGACCCATTATGATCTGCAGTGTGTTCTACTTATGTGCATTGTTTTGCCACTGGGATCAGTGAAGTAAGAGCTGAAGGAAAAAGTGTAGGCATCATCTTGATTTCATATTGTGCTGTTCCCCCTCATTCATTATATAAGCTGGACAATACATACTAACCTTTCCAAACTGAGTATTATCCCCGTGTTCCAGCTAATCCATTTCTTCTATGTGTGCCTGATTATTTTCTTCTAGCTCATCCTTGGATCAGAGCTCACTCTTCCTTGGCCAACTTGCCCTGTACCAGATGTGGGGAAGGTGGCTACCATTTCACATTTACGGCTTCAAGTAATCTGACATAGGGTCTGTCTTTCATATTTACATGTTATTAGAGCAGTTCTTTTGCAATAGTAAGCTCCTACAAATACTACTTGGAACGGGTTCACAGCTGCTTTTGTCATCTTTTGGAATTCTGAAGTCTCACATTTGTAGCCTTAAAAATATATGAACCATTGTAAAGCATCTATAAATACCCGTGGTAATGTTTGCCCTGTTTTTTTTTTAACAAGCAGCAGCTACAGGAAAGGTACATTGAGATCCCTTCGCCCCAGTAAATAAAACTCTTCAGGATAACATATTTTATTTCAAAATTATACGGTAATTTCTTTTTTTTTCTTTAGGTTCCAGAAACATGTCCATATATGGTCTGCTTGTCAGGGACAATAAATAATGATGTAATAGAAAGGTCAACTTTGTGTCATTTAGCTACAGGATGCTCGATGAAGTGAAGTTCCACAGATTAATGCAACAAAGAAGAACTTTAGAATGGGTAAAAGTTTCTCCAGTGCATCTTCAAACAGGAAATCTGAGATTCAGAACAACTTATATTTTGGCTTGTATTCGCTGATCATGGGGTGATCCAGAAATAAACTCCAGGCTTCAAAGTGAGAGTGTTTCAAAGCTGTCCTGCAGTTGATCGAAACATCCAGGCAAAGCAGGGAGATGAATACCAACGAGGATTTTCTGAATTAAGACTTAATCAAGGAGATAACTCATTTCAACAATATTATTAGCCTTTTATTTCAGGACAAAAAGGTAATGCAAATGTGCATGTTTTGAACTTATTTTGTATTTTCAATCTGCCAGTTTGCTATGGCTATGCAAATACTTATTTCTCTAGCAATTTGTAACCTAACACCCTAAGATAATCTGTGGAGTTTTTGTGTTTCTACTTTTATTTTTTTAAATAAGCCATAAAACACTTACTGTTTAAAGTTAATTCTAGAATAGTTAAGCAGAACTGTAGCTCCATCATTTCCTTATTTTTCTTTTACTTGCAGGTGATGCTTATGTCTTTCTCCCTAGAATAGTTTGCTCAGAAATAATTGTCGTCGTTTTTATGGCATGCTAAGGTACAGTGAGTGTAGTGTGCAAGGGGCAGTGTGAAGAAAAAAAGTGACAAAAGTGAATGATTTCCTTCACTTAAAGCTTTCCAGCTGGTACAACAGAAAGCTAATACTGCACTGAATGCTACATGAATTGATGCTTTCTAAGAAGAAATAAGAGCGTGCAGATATATACATTTGCAGTAAAGAATCTGTTTGGAATCATAATTTGATGGCATTGTACGATATGCCAGACTGATAGGTGACCTGTTTTAACAGCTGGGGCTTGACAAAGGGGTTTGTTTACTTGGAGGATTCCTTTGGGAAAGCTAGCTTTTTTGCTTCCTTCAGCGCTGGGCTATAACTTGACCACTTTGCATAAGTTGTTAGTACAAAATATGTTTGCCTGTAGCTGTAGCTGGACAGTATAAGAGGTTGTTCTTCTAATGCTCCACTTCTGATGGGCACTGAAAATCTTTCTATTTTTAAAAAAATGATTTACTTCCAAGCATACTTGGAAAACTGCAGTGATTTATCTTGAAATTGACCTAAAATACAGCAAAAATGTCAATATTTCAAGTGCTGTAAATTGGTGTAGTTTCCAATGCCAGCAGAGGATCTGGCCTGAAAGGTGCAACGGTAAGGACTAAAGTGGAAGCTTCATTTACTCTAAAGAGTTTCAGTCATGTCCTGCTGTGTTCAGAAGTAAAGGCTAACATGTGGAGCAGTATCTGCAGAATCTGGGACTCAGTCATTTCTCGGAAAAGAAAAGGCAAAACAAGCATATTGCTCCTCTTCTCTTTCTTTTGCAGGCTCTCAACTACTTATTTTTGTTTTTAGAAATGTGGTTTATCCGATGCTGAGCCATAAATACTGAGGTTCTCTACTGAGTTACAAGCTGATCGGGGTAAACCGAGTGCTAAGGCAGGCAAAGTCTCCAGCTCTGCTCCTTTAATGACCTTGTCACTCACCTGCCACCCTCCTCTGACAGCAATAAGTAATTCTGCTAATTCTGCTGCCTGGGGTCTATTGAATAAGGACAGGCAGCCTTGCTAAGCTTTTCTTTAAGGAAGTGCTGTCAATGGGGACCAGTTGTTTCAGATGCTAATGGTGTTGAGTAGTGGTTCTGCATGTTCAAAGGCAGCTGTAATCCTTGTTGTTTATTTATGTTGCATCAGAGATCAGAGGCCCATTCTCTCAAACACTGTATGTTGACAGAGCTTGTAGTCCAAATATAATAGCAACATAATTGTGTTTGTCTGTGGATTTTACCATAATGTGAGTGGTTACTAATAGTCACCCTGGTGAGTAGTACCTTTGCTTTCAGGGACTTGCCAGGTACAGCTGCTCATTAACGCAAAGAGGAGCTCCACAGCCTGGCCCTGGCACAAGCATTTAATTTCTTACCTTATATTTTTGTCACTAACTGCAACTAAGGTATGTCACAGGCCTGATTTCTGCATCTTAAACAAACTCTCACTGAAATCAGGACAGCAAAATTAAAAATCAGGTAGGAATATTGTCTACGTGGAGAGAGCACGATCAAGCCCTGTGTGGAAATGGTAATAAATTTAGATCCAAAACCTCTTGTCAGACTGAGATATTAAATGGCAGCACAGACAGCAAAATGCCAAAATGTGTCTCGCTACCAAGAGAGATCAGTAATGAAGCAATTCAGACCTGAAGGCAAGGGTTCTGTAATGAATAATATTGACACCGTAATCAGAGCTTTAAAATTCAGGTTCTCTTCTTAAAGGAAAAGCAATGCTGTATGTTATCTGCTTGTAAGAATGGGCTCTTGGACTGCCAGAGAAATGCAGGGGACAGCCAGACATTAAAACCTCTCACAAAAACCTAGAGTGACCAGTTAACCCAGCATTTAATTTGTAAATCTGATTCCAATATGTTAAACCTGCAATAATGAAGCTTAAAGAAAGCAAAAAAGGCAGATTCATACTGAAATTAGAGAGACTACTTTGGTTGGATCGTACTCATCTGAACTACTAGTTCAACCATCCCTACGAATGAAGATTGATTTTTTTCACACCTTTCTTATAGAAGGTGGAAAATATTTAGGTTATAGCACATTAGTCTAGTTAGCTTTTGTAAAGTCGTGGCAGGTAGTTCACTACTAACTAATGGCTCTGCCACCAGATCATATTACCTTAGCCCTACCGTGTCAGTTGAGCCAGGGTAAGTCTGTGTGACTGCAGCAGTGCCATGTAATGTGGCCGAGCTTAGCCCACAATGAAAGAAGGTTAAACTAAATCAGGTTACTTTGGATTAGCCTCAAGCTAAGGGCATGCACTTAGTCTGTTATCACAGCTCACCTGGCTCACAGTAACTTGTTGCAGAAAGAACTTGAATCTGTGCCTGAGCCCCATGGCTCTATAGCTACAGAGAAAAACATTTCCAGGTGGAACAGGATGGTGCCAGGTCTGCTCTGCCTCGAGCAGAGCATGCCTCTTGCTGGCATGCCTCTTGCTCTCGTGGCCTGAGTCAGACACACCATGCATCTATTATCCACGTGATAGCACAATTGACAAATGGAGCAGGTTTCAGCTTCTGTTAGAGGAGTCTCGCTGATCCATCCTCCGCCTAAGAAAACTGAGTTTTCAGGCAGAAGCTGAATGAAGCAGAGGGGCTAATTTTAATGGATTAAAATATGCCATCAAATAGAGTGGGTAGGTCAGTCTGAGCAAGGGGAGATAGTGGGAAACAGGAGAGAATGGATTTGTCTGAGAAATGAGCTGCGTAGCCAGAAAATGGTTTCAAACCAAACTTGAACAGTCTTTGACAGGGGATCAGGATAGCCAAGACTTTCAGCTGCTTAGGATGGGCCTGAAAGCTGCTAGAACCCCAAATGTGACGGTCACACCCTCACCATGATTGTACCAGTTAGAGGGGGAGAATTTAAAGCTTTCTCTGTTAGAGGCCCCACAACATTTCTTCCTGCAGGATGAGTCAGTGGCAGGAGCTGCTGCCAGCACTGTTGTTTCTGCACTCCATGGGACTCCTGTCAAAATATTTAGATTAGTGAGGATCACCAACGTGTAGGAAAGGTTCTCCCTTTCCTTTGCAAATAGGTTGGACCTAGTTAACCCATACAAAGACATGGAAGGTAAAATAGAAATGATCCCCAAAATCAAAATGTCCTTTTCCCTCCTTTTGCCTCAGTTCGGCATGAAACAAAAGGAGGGAGAGGAAGATGTCAGGAAATGGCCTTTACGCCTAGATCCTTCAGGAAAGTAGGGAGGCACCTAAATCCATCAGCCCCTCTGTTGGAGTGAAGAGTTGCATTGTCACTGGTCTCTTGTATGCTCCTCAAATTACCTGCTGCCTGCAAAGGGACTCCAACACCCAGCTTTAGGCAAAGTGAGGCTGGACCCTCTGCCAGCTCTGCCTCCTGTGTAGCCACAAATTAAAGAAGAGAGGTCTGCACCCTATGCCCTACTGATACAGGATCCTTTGGGAGAAGGCCTTAGTCTCCACTCTCAGCTCCTCCTCCAAGGACTCTTTGTGCATTTGCAATTAAGGCAAATGGAACAAACTCATCACCTCCTTTAGAAGCTCACAGATCCCCACCTCTCCGCTGACCACTTAGTTTAGGTCTCTGAGTCATCATCAGAGCCAGGTCCCTACATTTAGGCATTCTATTGTTGGGTGTTGCAGACAAGCCATCTGATTCCAGCCCATGGCTCCACACATCCACAGCACACCAGTTATTAAGTAAGTACCCAGGCTGACAAACCATAAAAGTGCTGTCCAGAATGTCAGGAACTGAACAAGCTAAGCAGCAGCAGAAGCTGCTGGGAAAAGAAGGTCATGTCATAGTTCTTGGCTAGCCATGGGATGGAGTGCAACCAAGGACAGGTACTGGAAGGGCTAGGGTGCAAGGAGGGGCCAGCAGCTCTGTTATCGGAGCTATGAGCTCTTTTAAATGCCTTGCCTTAGTTCCTTTGGATAGACAGGGATCATAGCTCAGGCCTCAGGTACACCCATGCACCCTGAAAAATACAGTCAAGAGCAGGTTTGAGAGACCTGGCAAAAAAACAAAAACAAAAACAAAAAATCTGGATTATATTATTTACAGCAACAGGTTTTATTTTGGCAGTTTTCATGGCTGTAAAACACATACTGTATTGTAAAGAGTAATAATGTTAATCTGAAAACAAAAATCTTTCCCTTGAGCTCTTCCCACTTCTGCAGTATGCTTGAAATCTGAGGTGGATGCAAGCAGCACTAGTAGATGTAGAAGACTATTTATGAAGTGGTATGTTTAAATCCAAGACTTTAAGTTTCTTGCAGCTTGATTAAAGCTCTTGCAATTTCTTTAAACTTTGTGTTAATTTATTGTTTTAATTATGGTTAAAGAAACAAATGTAAGTGTATTGATGCACATAGGTATGGCTCTGTTATCATTTGAGGGAGTTACCATTTCCTGCACTGTCAGATACCATCTCCCTAATGTCAGGACTGTTTCTTGGCCGTGTGTGCAGTAGCAATGACTAATAGAGCGTGGTAATCTACTGGAGTGAGGCTCAAGACTTGTTAGGCTCCCAGACCCACAGGGATATGATAAGCCAACCCTGTCATGCCACCGCTGCTGATATGGGTGCGATTCCCTGTGAGAAGTTCAACTCTCTGTGAGACACTGGGGAGCTGGAGGCAAAGCCCCAGCCAGCGGGAGAGCACCGTTAAAGGGGGGAAGAAGTAGGGGGGAGTTGAATTTTGTCAGCCAGTGCCCTAGCTGGCTGCTACTGGCCTTGCTGGGCGGCAGCTACCAGCCTTGCACAGGAGGGGAGGTGGCTCCACGACCCTTGTGTGTGACCTGGGGCAGGAAGGCAGGCATTTTCCAGGTACTCAGGGCAGGACAAATTTTGCAGGGCTCCTGGTGCTGGGGATCTCTTTGCAGACGTGAGTGAGCATAGCACTCCTCTATGGGGCTGCTTGTATCCTTATGGTGTCATATAAAGTATGTGGCAAATGTCGTTTTCGACCAGATGCCAGGAAAAGCACGTGGAAACGATGCAACTGCTGGGACAGGAAGCTGAAGTTCAAGTGCCTCGCTAGGGCACCTGCGCCCATGGCACGCTCTGCTCTGCCAAGCGCTCATCCCCCCGCCCTCCCCGAGCAGCAGGCACCAACCAGAAACTCAAGCAGCGCTTGAAGGACATCCAATAAACCGATCGCTAAAGCAGCGAGTGCTGCCGGAAGCTGCAGTGGTCCCCAGGGCACCAGCTCCCCAGGGCTGGTGCTAGGGGGCTCCCGGTGGGGCAGGGCTGGGCTTGGCCGCCAGGGCCCATCCCACC